TGTATGTATGTATGTATGTATGTATGTATGTATGTAAGTAATGTATGTATGTATGTATGTATGTATGTATGTATGTATGTATGTATGTAATGTATGTATGTATGTATGTATGTATCTATCCATGTTTTTTTTTTTGTTAAATGTATTTATTTACTTATATATATCCATGATCCAGTTGTGATGCTTACAAAAGCGGGCACAGGAATGAATGGTTGAGCCCGTAGACGCATGGCAACTGCAACCGTTTCCAAGGCTGAAAGTACGCACCCACAGCTTGAACCCCAAGTCTAAATCTTGTTTTTTTTTTTTTTTGACAGACTAACTATAAGTTGCGGCTTCACCCACGGAAACCGGCCACCAAAGCGGCACAAAACGTTTTTTAGGTGTTGCCCAAACTCGGTTGGCCCCTCTTGGGCCAGCAGAAAGGTTTTACAAAACATCGAGGCCAATGAAACAAGCAAAAGCCCAATCCAGAGAGCCAACTGACAGGCAGCAGACTGGAGGGAGGGTTAGCTTTGCTTCCAGGTCATCAGCTTCAATGGCTCCATCAGCGCCTGTGAGGCCTGTGGGGAGCCCTGGCCCATGGCTTTGCAGCTGGTGGCGGCTTTGCACAAGGCCGGGATTCAGAAGAAAGTGAGAGTTGGTGTGGCGGGTCGCGGGGTTCTGTGGTTCTTCTTTTCCTTTTTGCTGGAATGGTCGGGCAGTTGGCTTGCGACGGCTTGCAAGCGGCTCACTGGTTTCAAGTTGCTGGACCCCGTAACTGGTAATGATGAGTGCCTCGTACAGCGCGCGCTGGTGGGGCTGTCGAAGCTCGGGACCCCGAAAAGTGTGGCTCAGCTTTCTGTTGGCCCTTGTTCAAGCCAACCAAGAAAGGGATCCCCAAGTCCTGGACACATACAGTTCACTTTGACACATCAGAGTGCATTTGGTATTCTTCTGGGCCGTTGGGCCCATTCCAATTTTGAGAACCGGTGAAACCCAACGAGCCCCTTCTTCCCTTCTTCCTGGCGGGCCCAGGGCTCCAAACACAGAACGTGACTCGGTGACTCGGTGACTCGGATGAGGCCCAGCTGGATGCCACGGGGGTCACCTTCAGCTCGGCCATCAGCGCCTGCGAGAAGGGCGAGCGCTGGCGCCTGGGAACAGCTTGGGCCATGAGCGGCAAGCCTGGATGGGTTTCGACCACAGGGGAAATCGGAAAGGGCATGTGTCCTAAGATAGGGATTTGGACCCGCAACATGGAGTTTGTTTCTTCTTTGTTGTTTGATTTCTCTTCAAACCAACCCCATTAAGGGCACCGAACCTCAAACATCACACCCCAATGGCTGCCCTTGAAATGTCTTTTTTCCGGGTGATTTCTCGGACCCCTAGAAATGGGTTGTTTCCTCGTGTTTTCCTACGGGTCCAACATTTCGGGAAACCTAGTGAGCCACCTGCTCAAACACCGGGTTGGTGAAGATTAGTTCCCGGATGGTCAAAACACCATAACCGGGGCATATATCTGCCCTGTAATTCTTTGCATGGTTTTGGATGGATCATGTTGATCCCAGGTTTTGATTATGACTCCAGTGAGGTGATCCTACGCCAAAACAGCCAGGAACTCGTTTGATCAAGGGATATGAGGGACTTTCTGGGCGTCCCAAATGAGACTCAGAAATGCGAGAGGGCAAGGCCCGCGGCTGCTGGAAAACTGGCGCCCGTGACAGTTGATTGTCTCTAGCTTATGCCCTCCCACTGACACAGAAGCCATCAGGTCAGTCATGACCGTTTTGCGGTTAGTTGCTCGCCCCAAATTGGTAACTAAGGCATTCGCAGTGATATGTTCCAGGGTGAGCTTTGTTTTCAACTGGTGGGCCCATTAAAGCAGCAGGCCAGCTGCGGAGCAAAGTCATGGCCCGGCGAATTTGAAGTGATGGGTGAAAAGGTCGGCGGCACTTCGGGTTCCCTCTTACTTGCAGCCGCTAAAAGGATTTGTGCCGTCTACGTTCAGCCTGGTGCACAGCCTCAGGAACTGGGTCCTACGATTTTTGGAGGGCTGGTTGCTGAGCAGGGCCCGCCCAGATGAGATTACCTGCCGCGCCGTGATTAGCGCATGTATAAAGAGCGACTGGTGGGAGCAAGCCTTGATCAATTTGGGCGCCATGAGGGAGGCTTCCCTGGCAAAGTTCCTGGATTTGACTGGGTAATGGCACCACGCCTTGCCGGATGAATGCGTCCGCAAGTGAAAAAGTGGGCCTTGTACAAAGATTGCTTAGTGGCCGCTGCAAAGCTGATGGCCGAGTGCCAAAGATGCGCAACACCCTGGCATTGGCTGCGTTGTGCTAGCACTGAAAAAAGAAGGCTGTGGACTTGGAGCCGTGGACAGCCTGCCAAGAGGGTTGGCTTGCTATTGGCTCATGGTTTCGCCCGCCGTGATCTAGCAGCTCCAGACATCTCTTGACATGAACCAGGAAACCGCAACTGGGTTGAGACCATGTTTGTCTCACACAGCCATAGCTCATGCGGACCCTAAAGAGTTTGCAGGGGCGTGAAGGGAGGTGCCGGATTATGTGGCCTGATGACCGTCTCAGAACTGAAACGCACCCGTTGCTGCGGCTGAGTGGGTCAGCCCCTTCGCTGCAAACAGCTTGCTTGCACAAGATCTTGCATGTCAACCAACGCTTTTGAAGACTGGCCTGGGCATTCAAAGGTGAGCGTCAGGCCTTCGCACGGCTGGTCATCAGAGGGCTCCCTCCCCTCCCCCCCAAACCGGCCTTGGCTGCAATCAATCCTGGCGCCGGCCCGAGGCAAGCTTGGGGGAGGTTCTGGCAACCTTGCAGCCATGCGTTGCAGATTGGCGGCCCGGCAGCGCTTGAGCTCACCTTTTGTGCATCAACTCGGCCAACCTTAAGAAAGTCAAGTTAGACAGTAGGCATGTGAGGAAGATGTTCCCACCTTTTTGTCGGTGAACTTTTACTCAGCATGCCGCCGCTTCGTTGTCCTTGGGCACAACTCGGACCACTGTGTTGGTTCTTTTGTGTCTTTTCCGCGCTTCACTTAGGTGTGGCCCCCAACACGCCAAGCCAAGGAGCATAAAGAGCACTGGTTTTGGACAAAACCGCTTCCAAGCCGCACCGCGTGCTTCGGAGGTCCCGGCGGCCGCAGCTGGCCACCCAAGTTCTGTCGCGCCTGGCGCGGAGGGCCGACGTGGTGCTGGCGCGGCAGCTGCTGGTCGCGATGCGCCAGGCACACCTGGAGGCGGGGTCGGCGGCTGAGCTGGGGAAGGGGACGAGTTCTCAGATGGGTGTTTGTCAAAGTGGGAATCTGTTCCCAAGATGGCGGGTTTCCTTTTGGCCCCCTTTCAAACACTAGCCAAGAAAGAGGGTCCGAATCCCATGTTCATCTTGGATTTGGATTCGCAGGCCTCCAGAGGCGAGCAACTAAATATTCGGTCAATTTGCTGGTTGACCTTCAAATCAGCCTCGTTATTTTTCGCTGAGGCTGACAGCTCAAGACCGGAGGTTCTGATCCCTCGGTTAGCGGTAAATCAGCTGGCTACCTTGGAACATCTTCTTGCGGAAAGCGGGAGGGCCTTGAGGCGGCTGGCCTCATGGCTTCATCCCCCTGCTTGAGGAGGGCGGGGACCCGCAAACAGCTCCATGCCACAAGCAAGGTAGTCAAATTTGCCACACCCTGTGGGGTGTTCGCTTGGTTTTTGTTTGGTGGGGGGGGGGGGCAGGTGAATGTGATCCACTACAACGCCGCCGCCCGGATGCATCTAGAAAGATCGGGTTGTTGCTTGGGCAGCCTTGTGCCCAAGCTAGTTTTGCAGCATTTGGAGCAGGCGGTCTTTTTTTTTCTTTCTCTTTTTTGAGCTAGAATACGGACAGCTTTGGGATGGCTGCGCATTGCCCAGCCAAGGCAATCAACGCGTGTCACATGTGCCACAACGGTGACATGGCTCTCGGCTGCTTGTTTGAAAACATTTGCCTGGGCAAGTGACATGCGTCCCATAGCACGCTAGGAAAGTGGATCCGCACTTGTATATAGGGACCCGGGCTCATCAACCAGATTTTGAAGTATGCTTCCGATACATTGAAGCAACAACCCACGAACAAACACATGAGCGGAACCTGATCAGGTTCCCACGCGAATTGGGGAGGTACCCTCCAAACCACTGGGCCCCAGCCGGCGAGGCTTGCTGCAGTCCATGGGCGAAGCCACCATCCACCCAGATACCACTTCCTACAACACAGCCATCAGCGCCTGCGAGAAGGAGCCACAAGCGTTGATTCAGGGCTACGAATCTCTGGCGTGTGGGGTCATTATTTTGCTTGTTTTGTTTGGAGTGTGGACTTTGTATCCGTTTCTGGGGTTGCTTGATGAGGCTCTTCCCAGCAGGCAAGAAAATCCCAATCATGAACGCCGCTCTTTTGAAGAGAACTATTTTGGAAAGAGCAAATGTTAGGGTAGGGTTTGCCATAGGAGGGTCGCTGGCAGCTTGCGCTGGCGCTCCTCTGGGAATCCGTCCGCCGGCAGTTGGTGCCGGCGGGGCGCCCCAAGATCTGTGAGCCCGGCCGTTGAGTCGCTGGGCTGGGGGTGGTCAAACGGGCCGACAGTCACTGGTAGGACATGTGGCACCCCTGTACGTGCAATGCAGTGGTGCCCGGCAAGGGCACGACCATACTCGGGCTTCGTTGTCGCGACGCCAGTCAGTATGTGAAGTACCGCGCAATGCTGCGATTCAGACTTGCAAATGACTGCTCTCAATCCGGTGAGCTTCCTTGTTTCCACTTGGCAAGGTCCCTTGCCTTTGGCACAGTCCCATTCGAGGCATCTATAATTTGCACATGCCCCATGCAAACGGCTTTCTATAAGTCGTGGCCAAGAGCTTGAGCATGAAGGAGAGGGCTCCTGAAGTGTCGGTCCTCGTGAGGATATCATAGCAGGAAGAAAATGGCCAGGCCAGAAGTTGTGAGGCGTTGGCAGTATTCGACAACATGCTCCTCATTGAAGTGATTTCCCCGGCACTTCAATGACATCTGCATCGCAACACAAACATGAAACCCGAAGAAGGGGTTTCTGCTAATTGAAACACAACTTCGGGGACCGCCCATTCACCTTCCATGATCGTTTTTCTATACCCTCACTGCGTGGCAGTTCTTTCCATGTGTGGAGCCAGCCTACCAGGATATCATCAGCTACAACAGCACCATCAGCGCCTGTGAGAAGGACGGGAGGTTTACTGATGCAAGCCACGCTTTTGCAGTGTTATGATTTCTGGGGGTTGCCAAAAAGAGAAACTGGAGTTGTTTCCCTCAACCTACCACTTAGAAACTTCGGGGGTGATGTGAGTAGAAACATAATGGGGTGAATTTTGCCCGGATACTTTCACAGCGCTTGTTGAGCTTGTGATTTTGGCCAGCCAGCTCAAGCTGTGCGAAGACAGACGCAGAACGACAAGACAACTACAGAGTAACAGAGCAAAAAAAGATCAAGCAGAAGCAAAAGGCAGGTAGAACCGTAAGCTCATACATTGGCTTGCCTTCTAGCTTCCAACCTTCAATTGGCGGCCTTTGCAAGTGGGTTGCTGCAAACAAAGCAAGCACGAGATCTTTGAACCAGTCAGAGAAGCGAGACGGCAAACAAGATGACTTGACTACCACAGCAACTGTTTATGCACAAGCAGATGCGCGCACGCGCAGACGCTCGCACGCACGCGCACACACAGACACAAACCAACAACACAAACACACATAAAGACACACGGAGACACACACACACACAAAAAGACGCAAAGACACGCGAAGACAAACAAACGTGCGCACACACCCACCCGTCCGCCCGCCCGCCCGCCCGCGCGCGCGCGCGCGTGCGCGCGCGTGCGTGCCTGCGTGCGTGCGTGCGCGCGCGCGCTCATGCCAGGGCACACCCACGCACATGCACACGCACGCGCACGCGCACGCGCATGCGCACGTGCACGCACCCACGCACGCGCACCCACGCACGCGCACCCACGCACGAACGCACGCACGCGGGGCTCATGACAGGAAAAGCATACAGGGCCCTCAACGCCAACTGATGCCAGGATGGGCAATGGCAACAGGCGCTGCATTTGCTCCACACTATGTCAACCCAGCTCCAACCTGATGTGGTCAGCCTGCCGGCGTGAAGCGGTTTTTGCAAGCCGGGCACAAGTTGCAGCTGGGGGGCCATGGGTGTTTACTGCTCAATTTGCAGGTTTGCCTAGATTTTGAGACTTAACTATATTCAAATTGCCTATCCGTCTGTTTCCGAGGGAGACCAGAGGGAAGCCACCAGTTGTCCATTATGCGACAAACCCACCTGAGACCCCACCTCCCCCCCTTAGAATAAAGCGCCCCCAGGCTTCAGCGCCTCGCTGAGCACCTGCGCACGCGCAAGCCGCTGGCAGCTGGCTTTGCAACACCTCCGCTGGATGCAGCGAGCCCAGGTGCCTTCCGTCGGGGGTGCTTTCCCTCCCCCCACCCTCCCCCCGTCAGAGAAATGCAAGTAATAAAAGGTTCAACCATCCGGGCTCCCAGGTGTGTGTGTGTGTGTGTCTGTGGCTCTCGTGACCTCATGCAAGGAAAGATGGATGAGTACCAGGTTTTGCCATATTGCGGGGAATGACTGAGCTTGGAAATTTGTCAAGGCAGAAATTTGTGAGGCAAATGCCGTCCTGAGACTCTGAGGAGCCAAACAGGCCCCCCTTTCACAAGATGACTTAGTTCCCTTCGCCGAATCGCCCGTGGAGCTCCAATGTGTTCGCGGCAGTGTGGGTCTGCTCAGTAGGCACTTGGTTTGCAGGTGTGTCCGAACGTGGTCACCTTCAGCGCCTCGATCACTGCGTGCCAGAAAGGCCAAAACTTGGACCTTTCTTTGCACTTCCTGAGCATGATGAGTCAAGTGCCGCTTGGCGTCTCCGTGTGCATTTTGTGGTTTGAGATGTTTGAGCTGGAGGCAGGTGAGTGGTGACCATGAGTGACCACATGGCAAGGAGTATGAGAGCGGCGGCCCACGAACTTGCCCCGCCTCAGGAAGATCCAGCTGAACGAGGTCGCTTGTACATCCGCCATTGGTGCATGCAGGGGCCTGAGTGCTGGTTTAATGTGGCCAGGCGGGGTTGCTCGTAGCATCTCGTAGCAGCTTCCTTGCTATCTTCAGCTCGTCCTTCATGGCCCAACCGGCGTTGCGCGGCCAGAGCACCAAGATCCCTTTAGCCCACCTGGGGCCTCGGAGTTCTGGGTGGTTTTGCTCGGTCGCTGGTCCATACACCCAGGCGCCCTGGAGGAGGGCTGGTGGCTGGCCACATGTTTGCTGCGGAGCATGGAGGCGCGGGCGCTGCGCGCAACCATCGTGAGCCGCTTGGCTGCTTGCAGGGCGCTGCTACCAAGGCCTTCAAGGATGCATTTGGGCCAGGCAAAACGGCAATCGGCTGCTGCGTTTAGTTCCTTGGAAAAGGCGCCAGCCATGTTCATCCCGTGTTTGCCCCCCAATCATCCCCTGAAATTAGACGGCATGCTGGGAGAAAACCAAGGTGAAAGTTGTTATCGCCTTTGTTGGTAAATGGGAGTCACACATGTTCTACTTCTACATGCACGCGCACACACACACACACAGAGCATTTGAATGATCCTTGTTCGACAAATGCAATTCATACATGCACATATGCATTGCTGTCGGGGCAGCCATCGCATACGACCCATCGCACAATCCCAGCTTTTGTTCAAGGCTTCGTGAACAGACCCAACGTGCTGCACCCCTAGTGATGTATGACTGCCACACAGGTTGTTGGGACCGACTCGGGGATAAAACCATAGGTTCCATTGGAAGAAAGGAATCCAACCTCAAACAACGGACCCTGCCAAAAAATCGGGTAGATTACTTCTCAATCGGGGTCCGCTTCGCCCAGGTCAATTTGTTTTGGTTCCTTTCTTGAAGGCAGGTTGAAGTTGGTTTCTCTTGGAACTGTCCCTTTTTGCCAAACTTTGCCGGGGCCCTTTTTTTCCTTGTTAACCAGCAACAAGCGGGGGACTTTGCGGCGTCCCCAGTGACTTCACTCGGATGGAGATCCGAGGCTACGGGGCGGCGCTGAAAGCTTCGCGATGGTGGCTGTCTGGAGCGTTGCTGCGGCACGCGCAGCGGAGGGAGCTGCAATCCAACTGCGTGGCCTGCGCCTGCGCCGCGTTTTTGTTCCCCTCCTGTGAGCAACAAAAGCGGGAAACCAGCACCCAGCACGATAAGTTCCAAAGATGGGGGCATCAAGAAACGAAGTCAGAAACCCCTAAATGGGAATTTTGAGAACCTTGGTCTCCTTTTGAGGGAAGCATGTCCATAACCCACATGAGAGGTTTGCATCATGGGTGTTTCCCCACTCAACAGCTCCTTTTCGCCAAATCAATGCTACTCACATACGCGACTCATCTTCCCTGGGTATAAATCACGTTTTGAACTAAACACCTTGGGCAACTTTGGTATCCAAGGGACTCATTTCAACATCTTTGCCTGTCTTGAGAACAGTTTTACGGCTGCGAGGGGGTTTGGGCAGAGTTCTGCATGGCAGGTTTCAGGATTCTAGGCCGCCATGAGGGGAAGCCACGGAAGCCCGGGAGCCACGGTTTGCGGCCTTTTTGGGAGGACGGGTGGGCAGTGAGGATGTTCAACGCGTGTAAAAAGGCCGACCAATTCAATACAGGCTTCCTTTTTGCTGCAAATCCCAGGGTCAGGCTTGTTTTCCGGAGCGCCTGGCAACATGAAGTCGGCAAGCGGAAGGTGGTTTGCGTTTAGATTGCGTACCGCGGTGCGAGCAAACCTGAAGCTCTTCCCTTCATGGGTGGCAAGGGGAGGGGATTCAGCTTCGCATTTTCCCATTATTATTTTTCACAGGACCCCCCTCAAAAGTGGTTGGTGGACATAAATCCCCAAAGCGATTTCCGTCACCAAAGGGTCCCGAAGCCAATCGGCCAAGGGACTGCGGCGGCCGCCACCGCGGAGAAGGTGGGGCAGTGGCAGGTTGCGGAGGGCATGTTGGGGCATTCCCTCCTCAGCTCTGTGCAGCCGGCGCCTTTGGTGCAAGTGGCTTTGCCTTTCTTGAGGGCTGTGTCCATCGCATTTGTGGAGATTTTGCGTTCCTGTGCTCATACAGGCATATAACAGGTGCTGTGAAGCTGTGAATGTTGGACCATGGCTGATGGAAGCGGGGTGGTCAGCTTTCTGTCATGGATGGCCGCCAGGAAGGTTGCTGTTTCAGGATTCAGACAAGGGTATCATGTGACGCGCGTTGAATGTGAAGATCATACCCAGTAGATTCACCAAATGTCCCACAAAACCCCAAGGGCTTACGAATTTCCCCATATCTCGTTACGGGAACCGCGCAATTTGGACCGTTCTCATGGCCCCCTCCTCGGCGCTGCGCCAAGGACCTGGACTTTCGGACGGTGTGCGTGAGCGCTATGGAGAAGCAGTGGGGCCGCGCGCTGAGCCACCTGGGCCACGCGTTCGCACGCAGCCAGTTGCTGGGTTCCTTGAGCCAGCTTTTTCAAATGAGCAGTGCGCTCATCGTCAAAAGGAGCCGAGTACCCAAGCCCATTTGTGAAGGGGGTGAGGCCTTTGGGCGCACAGGGGTCCAAAAAACAGCAGTTGGCCCCGACCGGCCCGACGAATGGAGGCTGGTTGTATGAGTCAACAACATGGGTAAATACCGTTGAATTTGTGTTCTCAGCTCAGGCGTGGAGGATTGCGGATGCAGATTTACCCCATGGATTAATTTGCCTGATGTGTGCCATGGCTGGTTTGCAAACAACCCAAGTTCTCTTCAGCAGAATCTATTCAGGCTTTAACACAATTTTCACGGCCATCCACATGGGCACACTCTGTTCTCGGAGCCCCCTGTAACATGCTTCTGCTGCCGGACCTCGGGCGTCACTTGGACAGATCGGAGTGCGCAGATGCAGTTCTAAGGGACAACATTCCGTGTCCACGAGGGCCAGCACCACACAGTGTGTCACACATTTAAGATTGAGCACGCGGAAACGAGCTATGAATGATCTGAGCTTGAACACAAAAATTCACTGGTATTTACTGTGTTTTTCTACACGCAACCGAGGGTGGACCCAAAAGCGGACCCGCGGACCCAGTTAAAGAAGCCAAGGAGGCAAAGGGTCGCTGATCTCGAGGCGAGCTGCGGGGCAGCGGACTGGAGCCAGCGCCTTCGTGAGAGTCTGGCATCAGGTCGCTGGGGGCGTGTCTGTGAGGGTATATAAAAAGGCCAATGCCCTGTGCAATTAAAAGAGGGTTATGGGGTACTTTAAAACAAGGACTACTCATGATCATAAGGGAATCATGTGCGCAATTCTCTGGGCGCTTTAGATACATTGCACTTTTTGGCGTCGGTTTTAATTGGCCCCCCCAACTCACATACCCGCCTGGTCCACTGGTGGTTCTGTGTTGTTGGACTCCCAGCCATACCACCAATTTAAGATTGGCTGAGACATGGGAACCCAGATCATGAAGCCGCGGGCTCGGAAGTTGTGATGGGATATGTGTCTGTGCAGCTGTTCCAGGTCCAGGTGTTGGATACTGGGGATTCTTCACTGCAGAGACTGGCCGTGTCGAGTTTTACCAGGTGTTCTGATCGATCAAGCGTATTTGCACTGTGGAAATCTTGATCTTCAAGCTGCGTGCACCCGCCTGTGCCAGCTGCCTAAGGACCTCGCAGCCCACAACTCAGTCCTCAGCGCTTGTGACAAGAGCGCGCAGTGGCCGAAGTCCATTGACTTTCTGCATTATGCGCCGCTAGGCAGCAGTGTGCCCCCACCTGCATGCCAGCTGCCGTCGCACTGGATGTGCCATTTGCCCGGAAACTTGCATCCAAGGCAGCACAGGGGCTTTGAACCTGACCACGTCTCCAGTGGCGCAGCGGTCAGCGGGTGTGCCAAAGGCCGGGTTGGGCGCAAACTCGGCGGAGTGCGTGCAAGCCCTGCACCTCGAGATGCGCAGGATGGAATTGGCGATGCGCGGTGCGCTTGTTGACGTGGCTGCGATGCAGGCGATGGCCCAGGTTGCCGCGGTTTCTCGGTGTCTGGCTCTGCGTGTTGGGGTCCCGGGGCTTCAAGCCATTGATGAACACGGTCTGCAAAACTGAGTTGCCAGACGAGCAGCCCGCCCAAGTTGGGGCACACAGTTTGGACCGTTTTTGGGCGCTGCCAGGCTTCTGGATACAGAAGATTGCATTTACAGCGCGGCAATCAGTGCCTGCGAGGGAGCTCAGCATGAGTTGACGCCGGACGCGGCCGGGCGGACAAAATTGGCCTTGCGCGACGCTTGGTGGGGAACACTGGGCTGTCTGGGAATGTGCCAGCATTGGGACCTAAGCAGTTTGAAGCAACTCTTCAAGGGATGCGGCCATGCTCCCAAGAATGCCGTTTTCCGATCCAACTGAGAACCGAAAAGATGTACCTCCAAACCAGCCACCCTTTGACGCTGACCATTTGGAGGTAGCTCAGCCTTGCATGCAAGTCCAGTGCCTCAAGCTTGAAGTGCGCCTCGCCAACCTCTTCCTCGCATCTCGCCATGGCACCAATCGCGGCCCCCGTGGAGTTGAACAGCCGAAGCTCGGCGTCCCTGAAATACGGCCAGCTTCCCTTGGCCCAAGAAGAAGCTTCATCATCCTTGGGCCAGCCAAAACCAGACCTAATGCGGGTTTGCTTTGGAAGGGTGCGCATTTTCTCAAAGGTGCCCTGTTCCTCCGTTTTGATCCCCAAATAGGGAGCCCCATGGAGCCCCGCCCGGCCAAAGAAAAGAAGGTGATCTCCCTGGCTTTCCATCCAACACAACCCTTAAAAGGTTTCTGGCTGAGTTCTAATCTCTTCTGGAGCGAACACATGAGAAACCAAAGGGAACCCAAAGGCAAGCCGGTGGAGGGGTCAAACAGACACCTTTTGGTTCTTCAAGGCAAACCGAGAAGCCGCTAGCGATTCGTTTCGTCGAGGGGAGTGGCCGGTGCTGTGCGACCCGGACTGGGAGCTCGTGGAGGAAGAGGCGGCCATGGCCTTCGACGAGTTCCCCGAGGAGCCCAGTGCGAGCGGGTTCCGGAAAACGGAAAACGCGGACTGGTCAAGGCGTCCCTGGGGGCTCCACCAAGACTGTTGTAGATTAGGCGATCTATCAAGCAGAATCAGAATAGATCATATCTTCTGTGTACCCCAGATGTGGGCCAAGGTTCCATAGAACATGGGCCCCCTTGAGTCGGAGGCTTTGAACAAGAGCAGCGGGGTTCGCAAATTTGGGGGGGTGCCCTGGCCCGGAACGGGTGAGCAGTTCAACGATATCCACGCGTACTGGAAACCAGTCAGAAGTCTGGCCAGGTGAATCTGACGCCCAAGCTGCCGGCTTTTCTAGAATACACAACGCAGCGATGAGGAGTTCCAAACCTACCCCTAAAAGCATAACCCACTCACACAGCACTGCCCTTGAGCTCAATGTCTACATCAGATTCATCCACAGGACCATGCTGATACTAGTGCGAGAAATCCCCCGTGAATGTCGTGACGCGGCCTGGGTTTGAGAACGCCGTGTCTTTGTTAAGGAAGCTCCTTTTGGACGCTTTGTTGGAAGACAGAAGAAAACGTTGCGTTCCCAAAGTAAGACAACCCCCTTCTGCGATACCACTGGAAGGCGTTCCCCGACACATTTCCACGAAGGGGTGCGGGCAGCAAACTGCCTTTGCCTCGCGAGGAGAAGCTCTCCTGGGCTGCACGTGTCACCTGCGGACAGACCAAGGCAGATTTCGTCAAAGCAAAGAGGGCCAGCGGTCGCTTTCAGCTTTGGCGTCACTATTTTGGAGTCACTTTTTTGGCTAAAGTTCTTGGGAAATGGCTTTGTCAAGATGCAGGGCCCCTCCAAGTGTCCACATGTTTCTCCTTTGGCGTTCTCGTGGCAAAACATGGGTTCTGGGTTCTCCATGGCACTCTGGGAGACCTCGGAAGCCGCGGCTTCTGGCTCACCCGTTTTCACCCGGTTCCAGGCCGCCGCACCCAAGATGACGACGGCGGCTACACCCGAGAGGGCGGCACACCCGGCCGAAGCGCCGCAGGCCTGCAAGTGGCGCTTCGCCGGCCGGGAGGGGCGGACAAAGCTTACCTCAGCTTGCAAACCCGTTCCGCTTCCACCAACTCCGCCAACATTTTGTTGGTGGCTTTGTTTAATCATTTAGAAGGGCAAACAGTTTGGAACTCAGAACGTTGTGATTGCTTTGGGACCGGCGCCGCAAAACGCACACTTGTTGATTTGCCCAGGCATGTTGGAACCATTGCCGGGATTGGTTGCTGGGGTCTCAAATGGTCTGAGCTAGGATTTGGCCATCTTGGTTTGATGAACCTCCTTGTAGCCCTCTATCATTCGGCCTTGTCTCAGCATAAAACACCATCTTCTTGCACTCCGTGAAAAGGAAGGGCAAAGAGGCGCTTGCATGTTGGATGGGGTCGCCAGTCTCAAGATACAGCCCAGCCCACTTTGTTCAAGATGAGGTTGTGATTGTGTCTCATGGCTACCGGAGTTCACCATAGGGGATGCGCTCTCCTTCCAAACCTGCATTCCGTGAAGGCGCGCGCTTATGACGGCCCGCCCATATTAGAACAATTTAGAACATATTCTCATATATTCTCTAGACAATGGTTTTTGTGAGCGGACTGCACTGCGATTGGATGGTAATTATAGAGAAGAGGCGCACACACACACAGAGCGACACATACATGATTATGCATATATATATATATATACATTATACATATATATATACACTACACTGTAACATACAAACACCGACAACATGAATACACCCACACATACATACATACATACATACATACATACATACATACATACATACATACCATACCATACCATACCATACCATACCATACCATACCATACCATATACATACCATACATACATACATACATACATACATACATACATACATACATACACATACATACATACATACATACATACATACATACATACATACATACATACATACATACATACATACACATACATTACATACATACATACATACATACATACATACATACATACATACATACATACATACATACATACATACATACATACATACATACATACATACATACATACATACATACATACATACATACATACATACATACATACATACATACATACATACATACATACATACATACATACATACATACATACATACATACATACATACATACATACATACATACATACATACATACATACATACATACATACATACATACATACATACATACATACATACATACATACATACATACATACATACATACATACATACATACATACATACATACACACATACATACATACATACACACACATACATACATACATACATACACACATACATACATACATACATACATACATACATACATACATACATACATACATACATACATCTATTCTTTTGGCCGTGACACGCTCCCTCCAGCCACCGGGGTTCTCCACGTCCCGCAGGACGGGCACGAGTCGGGTGACGGGGCGGACGTGGACCCCAAGGAGCTGGCCCGAGAGACCCGCAGCCGCCACGTCGCGAAGGGGGGGCAGACCCTGCGGGGCAACGCCAAGGCCGGGGCGAGAAGCGTGGCCCCTGGGCTAGGGTGCCTGTCCAAATGGGAAGCGGAACCAAAATGCCCCCCCAAAGAAGGCGGGAACTTTTTGGTTTTCCGAATGAGAACCGCTCAAGAAGGGGTCGAGCAGTTTACCCCCGTCGGGGTAGGTGTCAAATTTGTTGCAGGCGGTTGAAATTGAGGTTGTGGTTTTGAGGGTGCCCGTTTCGGGGGGTTGGTTTTAAAGGAGAACCATCTTTAGGCGTGCAGGCGGTTCAGCCGAGCCCCTCTCTTAGGTCCAGTGGGTCACCGTGGTGGCACAGGAGGAGTCGGACACTTCTCACCTGCAGATGCTGCGGCAGATGCCCATCCGCGAGCCTCAGCGCGCATGGGATCCGGTCCCATGGGGGGCCACGGGGGCCATGATTTGTTGCCATCGGGCGGGCGTATGGTGGACACCCAGCGTCTATTTTGCAATCTGTTGCCTTAGTGTTCTGGAGTGTGAGAAGTTGGGACTCCCAGGGTGCATGATTTTTTGGACTGGTTCGAGTTGATTTTCCGTGTGAGTGGAATGTTGAAAGAGGAAGATGGCATGCCAGCTGCAAGACATGGGCAACCCACTTGCTTTACACCGGAACTGAGGAGCCCAAGGTTCAGCAAAAGCCGTTCAAGAAAGAGAAGAACTCGAAGGACCGGGACAAGGACATGATCCAGAACAAGAAGCAGACCAACCGCATGGACATCCGTGAGGGCCTCAAGCTAATGGGCTTTGCCTGAAGCCAGGGAGTCAGTCAGGAAGCCAGTCAAACGAACACGAACCGGCTGACCGGTACTTGGGCAACGTATATATTTGCATTTTAATTTGTTGCTGCTGCTCACAGCTGCCGAGAAAAAATGCTGTTATGCTACCTCTCAGCTGTGCCCATGCAGTAATTGTACAAAGTCGGGGTCGGGCAGTGTCGGAAGAAAGATGGTCAGCGTGAATCCAGCAGCAAGCAAAGAGTTGCTTAAAGAACCTGTGTTTTTTTCTGGGTGTGTGTTGTGAATCCAGAAAGCTGATTCTTCACCTCCATCCGACCGGGGTTTGTTCGACCCCACCCGCGGACGCATGCCGGACGGCCAGCGGGCTAGGCAGGGCGGAAGCGCTAAATCACTTTGTTTCGATTCGGGCTTGCGAGGGGCCCCGCTTTCGTGGAGGCATGTTCATCATGATTAGCATTGCTTCTGGTTCCTGTGGTTCCTGTGCGCTGTGCGCTGTGGCTTTCCTCAAAGCACCCTTCAGCGCCGGAGTCGCATTTTTCACCTGCCATATACTATAACGTACAGGCTTTTGAAGACCCTTAAGCTGTGCCCTTGCACCGCAGGGTGCGGCCACAGGCTCCATGGCAAGTGGTTGCCATGCTGGTGTGAGGGCAAGTGGGTTTGAACTTGAGCATGGGGAATCTTTTTCGGGGCATTTTTCCAGACCCCTCTGCCGTTCACGCGGGGTTTACGAGTCGCGAGCACCACCAGAGAAACCTGTTGGAGGCGCTTGCCCTCAGTGACTCAGAACGACAAAGTTTAAAGGCATGTGTCCACTGGTCCACTTTCATGGTCCATGATTAGATCTCTTTGATTGTCGTTCGGCCCTGTGGTCTCAGCTAGCTGCTGTAGACTTCTTCCTTGGACGGCGGCGGGACTGGCATTCACCGACTGGCCAAAAGCCCAGCATAAAATCGGACGGGGCAGTTTCGGGGTTCAGTGCAAGCTGAAGGCAGCCTTGGTCGGCTGACAGTAGGGGCAGCGTGTGTCAAGCATGTAATCCACCATTTTCGGGCCAATGGCAACCAGCTTCTGCATGGGTTCGTTGTTTGTGGCCTGCGCACGGACCCAAGCTCTTTCGGGAGGGGTTCCGGCCAGATAGAAATGGACATCGACTTCCGCATGCTGGGCGCGAGCATGGTAAAATTGAAAGGATGCCCGCTACTTCTATGGTGAACCCGGTTATATAATTCCTACTACGGGAATTCCAGTTACATCCGCAGGGGAGCCCAGTTACTATTTCCGGGGATCCTGTTGAAGCTACATGAAACGACTTGAACCTGGGACATCCGGATGCATCAGATCTTCAACTTGTCGACACTGCGGCATCACCCGGCCAAGCCGCGCGCGCGGCGGGGTTCACCATGAGCCTGACGGCCAAACATGGCGACGGCTCCATGGCAGGAGGCGTGGCAGCAGTTGGCAGCTGCTCGCATTACCAGATCCCAGCAGCTTGGGCAAAGGACGGCACTTATGCTCTTTGCTTGCTTTCTTGTTTCTTTGCTTTCTTGTTTGCTTGTTTGCTTGCTTTCTTGTTTGCTTGCTTGTTTGCTTGCTTGCTTGCTTGCTTGCTTTCTTGCTCGCATTGTTTTTCTGTGAACGTGTTGGTGTGTTTTGGTTTGGGCTTGTTTGTATCATTGTTTGCTGGGTTGGGTTGGGTTGGGTTAAATTAGGTTAAATTAAATTAAGTTGTGTAGACAGAAGAGGCCTGCGCTGCCGCCGCAGCAGTCCGAAGGCTTAGACAGGTCTTTCAGAGGCCACGGGTCAGTTTCCTTCCGAGGCCAGGGCTGACTTTCACCAGCGCAGCTGCAGCTTTGGCGCGGCGGTCAAGGTGGCAAGAGGCCTTGCAGATCTTGGCGCCTCGGTTTATTGGCGGAACTGGAGGCCTCCCCAATGTTCCAAGAAAACCGAACTGAAACTAGCCGCGTTGTGCAGAGAGAGAACTGTTACTTGTTGTTGAATCATGTTGCCATGATGATTGTGCCAAGGAGGGCCCCTGCCTGGTTTTGATAGGTCTTTGCACAGCTGAGGAGTGCCTTAGCCTTGCCCATTAGGCACTCCCAATGAAGCGGGTGATCCACTGATAGCTTTTGGCTTATAGTAAACATGCATTTATTGGGTATTGTTTTCTTTGTGTGTGTGTTTGTCTGTCTGGCTGCCTGCCTGCCTGGTTGTCTATCTGTCTGTTTGTTGTCTGGTTGTTTTTGTTTGCCTGTTGTTTTGTGTTTCTTTCTGCATGTGTCGGTTTGTTTATTTGTTTGTTTTTGTGCTCTTTTGGGAAGTGTTTGGGATTGTTTCTGGGGAAGCCGCATGGACAACTGTGGTTTGAATGTCGCCAACTTAGACACATCCATACAGGCAGCCGTTGTCGGCGCAGTGCTTGTACATCAACCCGGTCCTTTTTCGACTACCCTGTTGGAGATTGCTTGGCACCCGGTTTCACCTGTTTCTAGTGCCTTCGTTTTTTGTTTGTTTGAGTGGTGTTAAACATCACACGTTTGGCAAACAAAGAAGGAAAAACGTGGGGAGCCGAATATGGGTCTGCCTTTTTGTGAGGGTACTCCCTGTTCTTTCTTTTTTTGGTTGGTTGAAAGGGACACCCAGAAGAACCCCACCATGTTGGGGGGTCCCCCCCCAAAAAAAGAAAACCAACAACAAGAAACGACTTCTGCCTTTCTGCCTTTCAAGGGGCCCTCGCCTCAGGAGCCTGGGGACCTGGGCCGCGTGGGCGCCTGGGGCCGCGGCAGCTGGGCGCAGGCGCTGGCGGCGCTGGGCGGCGGAGGCGAAGCCACCGCGGCCATGGGGGCGGCGGTGAGGACGGGGGCCTTCCAGCACGAGGCCCTCCAGAAAGGCACCTTTTTCTTGTTTTTCCTCCTTTTTGTTTCCTCTTGTGTGTTTCTTCCCCTTTTTTGTTGCCTTGTTTTTTCTTTGCCGAAAACGGGTTTCCCTTTAGAATCAGCTACCCGAACAAAACAGCCACTCCAAATCGGGGGGGTGAAGTCTTGAGCAATGTGGCAGCGCTGCCACAAAACGGTGACCTTTGTTTTCTCACTGCCACTGAAAAAGACTGGGGGTCCAACCCAATTCCACTTATCCCAGGTCCTGTTGCACCGTGCAAAGACAGGGGAACCACATCAGATAGGTAGGGAATCACCAAGGGTGTTGGAAATGAACTTGAAGGGAAGGGTCGTAGGGGTCGTTCCCTCATTGCCTGCTGAGAACCAGCAAGATAGGTGCCAAAGAAGCCCATTTAGGTTTGTGCTTTTGTTGCTCGGTGCCCTTTTCAGGATTGTGGGAGGTCCCTCTCCCTCGACACAGGCCTGTTTCAGCCGCACTCAAATGTCGGGTAGATGGGAAGGGACAGTGCCAACTACGGGTTTTGATCGTGACTCATTCAACGGACAATATTGCTGGTGTGACGGTCTGGATCGGCTCCCCTGTTTGCAGGTTGGTGGGTATCGGTATTGGGTAGTCCTCTATGGGTTTCTGGTGTACGGCCTCCTAGGGAAGTTGTTTATTGCTTTTTGAGCCTGAAAGGAAACCAGCCCTGTGGCACACGCATTTGTTCGCCGTCGTTTTCCTGCGATTGACAAAGGGCCGACCTTGTCGGAGCCATGTCACATCAGATAAATCGGTCGGTCTCTCTCTCTCTCTCTCTCTCTTGCCCGTTTGCCTTGAGACCAACCCTCTGGCTCAAGGAAGTGGAGGGCCATTTGCACATGCCAAAACGCCATCTGGCAAGTTCCAGCTGTTTTGCTCAGATGTGCAGGAGTCAACGCTGGTGGCATGCCCTTCAACTTTTTCACTGGATGTCTGCCACTCGGATGGAGACTGGCCTGGCCTTGGAGCTGGTGACCCAGCTTTGGCGCCAAACGCTTGGGGGGAGTTGGGCAAGCCATGCCATGGAATTCAGAACCAGACATGTGTGTATCTCAAAAAAATCGTCCCTCCAAGTGTTGTTTTTCTTTCGGGCCCTTTTTAAAACCCCCAGAGGGTTCCTCATTTGGAGACACCCCCACTGCTTTCCTTTTTGCGGCTGCCCACGCAAAAACGGACAAACGGACGATGCTGAGGAGCAGCGCGCCTCTCCCAACACCGTCACCTACAACACCGCCGTGTCGGCCGCCGGAGCTGGTGCTTGGCAGCTCTCATGGCACTGGCTGGCATCCATCCCCCTGGCCTGGCGCTTAGGCGGAGACCTTGTGCAATCCCAGGTGTTCGGCGGATTCCTTTCTTTTCTTCTCCGCTTTTATGGATGCCACACTCAAATGCTCAACCTGCCTTTTTCTTTTTTCTTTTTTGGGGGGGGGAGTCCAATTCTTTTGGTACCGGGCTTACTGGACGACTGGGCCATGTGATGTGATGCAACTTGTGATGGAATCTACAACATTATTGAAGGCAATGAGACTTGAAGCGAGGTTTTACAAATCAAAGAAACTAAGTGCCATACAATGAGATGTGACGTGGCATGGCACAACCTGTTGTTGCAAGTGATGGGGTGCAATGCGACGTGACGTAATGTAAGGTGGTGTAATGCTGATAATGTGATGCGATAACATGGGTGATGTAATGCGATGAAATGGAACGTCACAGAATGGAAAGGACCGGGATGTGAAGAATGCAATGCAATGTTCTGCGGAGTCATAGTGGGCAAGGTGCTTCCATGTACCGAAACGCTATGCACCATAACAGAACTTTGCGGAATGCAGTGAGGTACACTGACAGTGTCATGCCGGGGCGTGTCATGTCACGTCCCGTCATGTATTATAAAACAACATAATGCAATGAAATGCAGTGCAATGTGGTGGAAGGAGAGGTACTGTGCCCTAGAGCGTCGCAGCATGATGGCATATAATGTAACGTGCCGTGTTACACGCAGAGTCAACGTAGCGTAGTTCAAATATATCGCGAAGTGCAACCTGTCATGTTACGGGCAGTATTGCACAAGCGATGACTTGTCCTTTCTACACTTTTCTGCGTTCAAGCTCGAATGTCGCTGGCCCTCTCTTGTGGCCAAGAGCGGTGCAGCAGTGTTTGCTGAATCAAACGCGCAAAAGGAAGTATGTCTGAATGAACACGGGGTGTGTCAATGCCAGGGAGCCCTCCAGTTGGTTCGTTCATATTGACCCCCTTTCCTTCAACATGCGCCATGGGACCTGGATTTGACACCAACGCCATAATCCGTTTGGCAAGTTCTGAGTCCAAAGCACTGCAGGCGTTGCAGGATGTCATCGGCTTGAACTCGGCCATTGCCTCTGCCGGCCAGAAGCGCCAGTGGCGGCCGGCCCTATGCCTGGCGTTTGAGGAATTCAACCTGCGGCCAAACGTGGTGAGCCCCACGGCAAATAACAGATGAGGCTAAAGATCCCTGACCATTCCAACGAAGATGTGCAGTGATCGCCAGACAGGGCATTAATTATGTCTAGACCACTGTGAGGGATCTTCATGCTGCTTCCCGAGCATGTTTCGAGTAAACTAGTTGGCTGAGGCTATAATTCCATGATCGATGCATGTGCAAGATGCCGGTGGCTTATCGCTTTGCAGCTCGCTTCCCGGATGTCGGGGGAAGCTGTGGAGCAGGACGTCATCGGACACCTGGCTGACAGTCATGGAGCACCCCAGGGAAGCTTTTTGTCACATTCCCCTGAGCTGCCAGGTGGGGGCCGACATAATTGGTGGCATCTGCGTACCAACAAATAACACATAGAAAAAGGGTAGGAACCAAGAACATAAAGAGCGTAAATGCGCATAGTCAAGATATACTCACAAGCTCAATCGCACTCTTTCGTTGACAGCTCTCAACACTTTGTTTTTGTAGCATGTTTGTTTGATCTCAAGCGGGGCAAGACTTGAAGGCGGCTGCAATTGACCAGCCCAACATAATGTCCAAATCTTTGTCAGCGGGCCGAGCTGAAAACTTGAGCCTTGCTTTACCTACCAGTAGCTTCCCAGCAGCTATTTGCCTCTTGTTCACTATCGCTTCAGGCCCCCCTTCGCCCCCGTCAGCTTTCGCACATGTTTGCATCTGGTCTCTCTCACTGCCTCCCCTCCCTTTGCATGTGCTCGACTTACTTGCCATGCCGTATGGCTGCTGGAACCAATGTGAATCCATCAGTTGGAGCGTTGGCCATCCAGCTATTCCTTCCCTTCTTGGGTGCAGGCCTCACTGTCTTAATCTTTTCCCCATGAGAATCAATACAGGTACATACCCCCGCTTCCTTCAGAATTCCCCCGTAGTTTTGCCATCCCCTTGACAGCAATTACCCACAAGTTTCACTTGTGCCCATCCCCATCTTCCAATCCCTTTCCACTAGGACTGAATTCGGCTTTGGCCTCGGATTGGCGCCGGGGGCCGCAGCTGCTGCAGCGCATGGCTCGGAACCTGCTGCGCGCCTCGGCGGTGACCCACACCGCGGCCTTCGCGAACGGTTTGGGCGGCTTGGGCGACTGCTGGGGCCGGGCGGTGGCAGCCTTGGGCCGGATGCGCGGGAGCCAGGCGGGGGGGCGGGGGGGGAGGGGTTGGCGGATGGGGGCAAGTGAATGGGGAGTTTAGAAGTGGTTGCGGGTTTCTGTGGATTGCAAGTGGCGGGTTGATGGCAGTAGGAGCTGATGATGGGTGGGATGGGGCGATTGCAGGATTCTTTGCGCCGCCTTTGCATTTGCAACTCTGAGGTGGTGGTGTGGATTGGCTTGTGGATGAGCACGCCGGGCTCTTCTTTCAACGGCACCCCCTACTCCGGACAAGCATGAAACCCAAGCAGCCATTGGTTGGTTTCATGTCCGTTTGCAGACGGGCACTCTCCAAAACACTGGGCCTCAAGCCAACCAAGAGCAAGCTTGCCGCAAAGCAAAGCGACGCAGAAGTCCAAAGGCAGCTCCGTTCAGCTGCTTTAAACAAGACAAAGCCACAGGCCCCAGACTACCAACACAACTCCCCCACCCCAAATTTGTTTTCCCATGTTGTTTTCTTTCGGTGTCCTTCAGCAAGGTTCCTTACCACCAGTAATTATTCGAACCCATTCGGGTCCCCTGCGAGTGTAGGACTCTGCAGGTCAGAGTCACCAAAGTCTCCCACAACGCGGCGCTGGATGCCTGCGAGGAGACAGGCCGCTGGCGCCGGGCGCAACTGGCGCTGGCGCCTGGACTGAGGAAAAGACACATGTGGAGATGTCTTTGTTGAGGGGGGGCCCGTCAAAATGGTGGTAGACCTCATGCTCCCTTCAAAGCCACAAAAATGGGGGGTACCCTCAAACAAAGACATGAGGGCACCCTTGTTGGGAAGTCTTGCAGGGGAAGACATATTGTATAACCAGGGTTCCTACTGACTTCCAGTTGGGGATGTGAACTGGGTACTGTACGCCTCCTTTGTTGAGGGTGCCCGTTTTTGCGGTTGTAAGAAAGGGACAAAGGCAAACCGTTGGCTCCTTTAGGGCCCCTGTTAGATTCTGTTAGATTCAATGAAATTAGCATGGCGATGATTAACGGAAGTGCTGGACATGGGAATGGTGAAGCCAGGGAGTTCTGAAAATGATGGATATCGTTGCATCCCTTTGCAATAAATGGGCCATAGTTTTGACAAAATGTCCACCCTAAGCCAGGCAAATTGTGTTGGGGGTGAACGGCCCTCTGTGCCTTGCGACGTGAGGCCGCCATGCAGCTGGAAATCGAGCCGGATGTGATCAGCTATAGCACCTTCGTCAGCGTGCCTTGGGTGCAGTGCAAGGGCCTCGCAAAGCAGATTGCGTTGTGAGCCTGGAGCATGCACAGCAAGACAAACCGTTGCCAGTGCCATTTATTTGTGCAGAACTTGTTCAAGAGTGCATCTGCATGAGTCCTCATTCGGTTCGCCAATGAACCGATATCAGGCAAGGTCCGACTTGATCGTGCTGGAACACTTCTGGTGTCGGATGGTTTGGGGTTCTGTGGCCTATTCCCTCGGGTTTGGAAGGGATGAGGAATGATAATGCGGACAGCGCCAAGTGTGAGAAGGGTGCAAGCTTCGCCTAGCAGCCTTTGGTTCTGTCCCAATGGTTTAGGGAGCCTCAAGGTTTTTTTCGAGGGTCAGCCTGAAAGCTTTCAGCTCGAAGGCGGCTTCGGGATTCATTTGGGGTTTTGAGACGCGCACAATTTTAGGGAGCCTCGACTTTGGCAATCGGTATCATGGCTTGTAGCAGCTTTGGAGCTGGGTTAGGGGTGATAAATGCTCCGGCATCTTGTTTTGCAAGGCCCCGTGCTTTAGAAGGAAGCCTGCAGGACATCAAACAGTAGTTGTCGTCCTCCTGTTTCAGGGAACGCTCATTTCTGCTGGGATCACCTGATTTCTGGTGGAGTGCTTTTCATTGGGAACATTTTTAAAGAAAGGTTGCTGGGCAGAAATCCACCCAAGAACAACTCACACCCTTCTTCCCCATGAAGCTGGCTCGAAGCATCGCCTTTCGGAACGGCCGTTTCCCCCCCAAACGGTTGCAACCAAGAACACATTGCCCATGGAAGGCAGAGGGGAACTAACTTGAATAGCGTAACGAACTGAACTGGAACAATCAATGTTCCCTTGGACTTCCAAGCGAATTCATCGGCACCTCCGCGCGTCAGGCCTGTGCCGTGGCCAGCCGTTGGCTTGGGGCTCTGGAGGGCTGGCGCGCACAGCTCCGCACGGGCGTGGAGCCGTGGGGGCTCTCAGAGGGGCGGAGTCGGGTGGAGTAGGTTCCTCGGGAACTGGGGAGAGTCCTGTCCAAGTGTGGCGCAGCCATGCGCAGCCTCCCTACCCTCCCACCGAGCCTGGAAATGCACAGAGACCCTTGCAAAAGTGAATGTAGTCCTCCAAAGGTGGTTGTCTCACCAGGGGATTGCTTCGCTTCTAGAGCATGGCACTCCCACCGTCGGTGGGTCGTGCTGCCCGTTCTGACTTGAATTGCGGTTGTCTCAAGATTAGGGGGTTCCCCAAGAGAGTCACACCCAATCCTGCACCAGAGATTTAAATCAACGGGCAACCTTTGGCCCAAAGGCCTGTGCGCTTCGAACGGGTTCATGCTAGCGCTGGATTGAACCCGGTGGATCTCAAGAACCTTACCCCCGGGCCGTGTGAACCGTCCGGTCTCCGTGCCTTTGAGTAGAAGCCACTTGAACCTTCTGCACTGGGGTTCTGCAGGAACGTCATCGGCGCGACTTCGGCCGCCTCAGCCCTGGAGCGCCAAGGCCGGTGGCAGCTGGCGAATTGGCTGGGCGGGCCCCTTGACGCCGAATTCAGCGCCCGGAAGTTGAAAGGTCCAGTATGTCCAGCAAACTTCTACATTGTGACAGTGTAAATAGTAACAAGGTGCTGGTTGATTTATGATTGCGCCCAGTTTTTGCGGAGATTCTTCACTTTTGGCCAGTCCGGGTCAACACTGTTGGAGGTATGGAGCTTATGCAACGCTTACATAGGCACATGCTGCCTTGTAAGCTTGTTTCGGTGCTAGTAAAGCCTCCGAGGAGACGGGCCGCTGAAACGTGATAGCTGAGGTTTGCGAACTCTGTTTTTGTGTCGAGGTGCGCCATGGCGCCCTGGGATGTTCAATCCGCTTAGGAAGTTACAGTTGTTCGTCCGCAATGGGGTAGACTATCTCAACATGAAGCAAACCTACCCATCATTCAGGGTTCCCGAGTTTAATGCGCAGGCTATCCCAACCAGGAGAGCGACATGCCGCGTCAAAATCGCTTTGACTATAAGCTCTTGGTTTTGCAGTTCTTGATGAGGTTGCCACTGTTTGGCCCTTGTACCATTTCGCTGGTTCAACAATTCTCAATTCTTTGTGGTTTCCTTTGTGTGATGTGCCACTGCAAGAACTACGCATCATGCATCGGGGTAGCAATTTTGAACGGCCAAGGTTAGGCTAAGGGTCACTTCGGATGCAGCCTGCCCGAGCGGAAAACCGGAGGTTGCAGCTGGGCGCTTGGTCGGCGGGTTTGGCGCACCTGGCGCGGCTGATGGACAAAGGGGGACGTGCCGATGCAGTGGAGCTGGGCACCTTGGGGACAGCCCGGGGTGGATGGGCAATCCCACTAGTCAGACGGGCCCAAGAAACTCATAATTTCCTGACTCAAATTGTTAGAAGGGAACCACCCCTGATTGGTAGGGTGCCCCTGAGTCGTCCGACCCTAACAATGGGCGGCAATACCATTGGTAGTCACATGCAACAAGCGGCTTGAGCAGGGGCTAGCAAACTTTGTTTGGGGTGGGCATGGAGGGACGACCCAAACTATTCGCAAAAGCCCACCGGGAGAACCCACTTTTCTCCTGCCTCTTGGCGGATCAAGTAATCTTGCATGGTTTGATATCTGAGAGCTTGCCAACGTGAACTGGTCAGACTTTTGTAATAGTAGTGCATTGCCTCTTGGCTGCCTTGGACAAGTCCACAAGGGGCGCCAAGGGCGTAGATTGCAACTTTGTAAGGGGTGCAATTAGATCAATTCGGCCGGCATGATCTGCACAGGACTCCACCCCTGTGGGGAACTGTCAGCTAGAATCCGGGACTCTTGGGAGACATGCGACTGCTTCCCCCGCATCAATCACTACGAAACACGTGCGGCAACCAAGGCACCGTGATCCGCAAGTGCGAATCTTATGGCCAATGGGAGCTTCCCATTCACCTCTTGGAGGCACCTTTCACCAGTCCGGCCGCAAATGCGGCTTGCTTGCAACATGTTAATAGTTGTCACTGCTGGATCATATAGTGGCCAATGAGATAATTATGCTAATTCCAGGGGGAAACAGCCACGTATGGTGACGTGGATGCAAAAAAAGAAAAGTCTACACGCTGATTTCTTGCTGAGGCCGTCAGCTTCACTTCCGCCATGTCTGCTTGTGCCAGAGCCGGGCTTTGGGAGTACGCCATGCTGGTCTTTGCCTGGATGCTGGAAAGAGGCACAGGGTCCTCGGGTTGCTGGGGCGTATTGTCGACGGGTAGCAAACAAGGGAAACTGCGGCTTTCTTTTGGTCTCCCTTTGCCAAACTCCCTGCGCGGGCCTCGCTGAGGCACGGAGATCACTGCGGTGCCTTGCAACGCGGCCATCTCTGCCTGCGAAAAGGGCTCTCAGTGGCAGATGGCGTTGCTGGTCGTCAAGAACATGAGGAAGATGCGCGTGCAAGAAGACACTCGGCAGAATTCCCAATTGCTTTCTGCCAGCAGGCTTCTGTTTTAGTTGCCTTTTCTTGCACTTTTGTTTAAACGTTGACCCAGACTTGACTGAGGACTTGCTGACGTACAACTCTGCCATCAGTGCTTGTGCAAGAGCAGGGCACTGGGTGGCTTAGCTAGTCTGAGAAAAACATTTGGCAGCTATGTTCTATGGTTGCGCTGGGCAAGGTCTAAGCCACCCCAAGGGTGCCCCTTTTCAACAACCCCTGGCGCTGTTGCATCCCTATTGCAGGTGAGATTTCGTACATAAAAGTGTTGCAGCGGGTCGCGCCCCAATGAGAGACTTCAGCAGGTGGCTGCTCTGGGCTTCTGGCGCCGTTTGCGCCGCTCGGGGCGGAAAATGTCGAGCACCGGCTGCAATGGGCTGCTGGCGGCGCTGGCGCGGGGATGGCAGCGGCGCAGGGCGCCGCGGCACGCACGAATCGGCTGGCCGGGTGGCTGGGACGGCGGGGCTGTTACCAGAGACCCCTTGATTCCTTCAAACACCAACTACCAAAACAGGCTCTCTCTCTCTCTCTCCCTCTCTCTCTCTCCCCAGTGCCCACTGGATGTCTGGGATTGTGTGCCTCCAAATGGGGGCCAAGTTTCACTTTGGATTCTCAAGGCGACCACGAAAAGCGGTATCCTCAAACAAGGACATTTGCAAACTTCCCACTTTTATGCCATTCTTCACATGTCACCTTGTTGTGCCATTTGCTGAGGTCGGAGTGGTTTACACCAAAGTGGCGGATCCCACGTTCCGTTCCTTCACGAAAAGGGGGGTTGCTCCGCATTGACTGGGCCGACTCTTGGAGTTTTATTCACTTCGCGTTGAACGGAAAACCGCCCATCTTTGTGCGGAACGCCCATTTGCTCAGATTAGTGTCTATTTCGACAATAGTCCAGCTGTTCAGCTGAGTTGCGGACTTGCCCTTCCTGTCCAGGCAGCCTTTTACTTTTGTGTTGTTTGGCCTCGTGACTTGTTTCGCATATCGATTCGCATTTCAATGGCCCTTAGCAGTTCTGATTCATTCATGGGTCCGCGGTTTGCCGAGGCCATTGCGGTGTTGGAGTCTATGCCTCGGTACGGGCTGCGGCCCACTTTGCTCAGCTATGTCGCCCTGGAGAGCCGATCTCCCGCTGCTTGCAACGAGAAAGCCGTTAGCAGGGCCCCAAACAAGATCGACTTGAACCCAGGGCTCCCCTTTTGGAGAAAAATCAACCGCCCCGGGGTTTTAATCTGCGCAATCCGAATCCAAACAAACACTGACCGTGGGTCGCCAGTCCGGAAGCCCGGGTGATGTCGCAACGGGACAGTAGGAGTAATGAGAAGTTGTTGCTTGTGACAAAGAGCTACTTGGGAGCCGTGCACGGGCGAATGCTCAGAAATGTTAGCTTTGGCACATCCGGCGCAAGGCGAAACGATGTCTAGGTTGCTTCAACCTCGCGTGTTCTGGTCGGACCTAAGGCGGCACTCGTGCCGTTGGAGCGATTGGCAGTGCAAGGGCTTTCGGCGTTCCGCAAAAAGACAGCCCGCCCCGAGGGTATCACCCATGCCCCTACCATGCCGGCAAGTGTTCTGTCACATTGTATGCATTGGCCTGCAGCCATCTCACAGCCCATATTGCGCAAGTCACTTCCTGGGGAGCATGAGGTCTAGTCAGTATAGGCTTGACTCCTTGACTCAAGGCTCAGATTCTTTGTTTCCCTCAGGTGATGCATGCACCATGCGAAATGACGTGAAGATGTCACGGACGGACCCCACTTGATGGCTCAGCTAGCCGGCGCGATGGGGCATGGCCGTTCGCCAGGTGGGAAAGTCTCATCCCACCCTATGGGACGCGCTGGGCCGGGGTTTTGGGTTGAATTCTCCTTGGGGGTTGGGGAATGTGAGAGCGCTGCGTGATCTGGCGCTTTTCAGCATCGTTTAAGCCAGCTGAAGGACACAAATGCTTGAACGATGTCATCGGATGTCATCGGCGTTTCCTCTCAAACAATCTCAGCCCCAAGAATAATCATGGCATTTCAGCTCGCAGAGTTCGGTGGCTTTCAGGGCTCCATGCAGCGACCTGTGATTCATAGACCCTGGTTGATGAATCCGATCCCGCGGAAAAGGCAAAGGATCATAGTTCCAAAAACGCGGGTGCGTTTGGTGCAGCAGCCACAGCCACTGAATGGGGTTTCGATGGAAGGATCACCGGAGGCTTCACAAAGTGTTCCAGGATGCTGTTTCCGAGTGAGGAATTCAAACAAACCCGACCGCGACTTGCAAGGCTTGGGACCAGCAATGCTTGTTATCCGGGCCTTCAGGAAGAGATCCAGTCCATGTCCCGTGTCTTGCCACCTGTGCCCCTTTTAAAGGAGCCATGTGCGTCGCTTCGCAGGCGCTGGCGCCGGAGGTGGAGTTGCTGCGTGCCAAAGGGCCTGGCAGCTCCCGAGAGGTGCGTGAAGCGGGCGGCTGGGCTGGTTTCCTTCCCCTCGGAGTTGATGCGTTCCACGTGTTGCGTTGACATAGCTGAAGGTGATGCAGACAGAAATGAGTATGATTCGTATGTCAATCTGATATAATCTGATGTGCATCAGTTGGCCGCTAGGCCTTGCCAGCCTGCAGGACAACCCCAGAAACATGATTTCCGAACTATATGGGGGACGGCACAAATCCAGACAGTTGCAGGGCAGCGCAGAACAGAGCTTACACTAGCAGAGTAAGCTATGAGCCAAGCGTTCCACCATGAAACCAACTGTGTACATTTGAAGGGGCCATTTACTGGGAAACCGCATATCCCGATTGAAATTCTTTCGGCCTTGCTACCGAGCTCCGCTAAACCTGGTGTGTTGGTGGGCAAATCTGTTCGCAAGGTGGAGGGAATCCCGCATGCATGCTTCTTTGAACGAGGCCATGATGAGGTTCCATGCTGGCAAATCGGGGGGCTGCCATCCACCTACTCGTGGTCAACCAGAGCTGTGTGCGGCTTGCAAAACGTCATCACCAAATACAATTCCTTTAGAGCAGCCATGGGATGGATCATAGCGTAACCCCACAGCTTGGCCCCCCACGGCTTGTCTGCCAGGTGCGCGCGCTGTTGGCCGCGGTGCTGCCGCGCTGGCGGCAGCGGCCGCAAGAGGCCACGCGAGTGCTCAATGGCCTGGCTGCGACCAGGTGGGGGAGCTGGGACATGGGACATGGGTGCCTTGAATTTGATGTTGGGGGAAGGATCATTTTTGTGAAGCCGCGGGGGGGGGGGGGGACGTTTTGGGCGTGGGCCTGCAAAATCGAGCTAAGAGTCCACCCCGATGGGTGTTGGCTTCTTGACCACAGTTTGTGGAAGCCAACAGGTTCCACGGAGGGTTGTCCAGAAATTGGGTGAAACAAGGAAAGGTATGTGTCCAAGCCTGGATGCCGACCTTCGGCTCAGGTGCACCACCCTGGCCCTTCAAGTGCTCGATGTCATGGAGAACCTTGACCGCACTTTGCGTGTGCCAACGGCTGTCCCATTTCAAGATTCATCGAAGACTTATGACTTGGCGTCCTTTGGCTTTCCTCCCCTTGAGGTTTTCAGGCTTGACGCATGCACCCTAAACTCCCGCCTGCTTCCTCCCCATGGTTTATGGTTGTCACTGATGCAGGATGGGCATGGACAAACATGGCCTGCACCAAGGCCCTTTTCCCACTAGAACGATTCTTTCCAGATGTCCGCGTTTCCCTTGCCAAATTATTTGGATGGGCCCACGAAGTTTGGAACCCAAATGCGAATGGGGGTCACTTGGCAGGTATCCATACTGGGACGATCAGGGTGATTGCCCAATGAACAGTCTTATAGCCGATAGCCACAGGGCCAGATGACCGTTCTCAAGGGCCACAGGTCTTGGCCACATGCTCTGTTACATGGATATGATCAGCCTGCGCAAAATCAAATGCGATTCAAGTTTTGCTGGCTGCGATTCTGTTCTTTGTCAAACCCGTTCAATCCCAAAACGTCACTAGGTTGTTCGCTCCGAGTTTCGCGGATATGTTTTGCGGCTTTGAGGCTAGCCGGCGTAGAGGCCAACGTCTTCCACTACTCCGCAGCAGTTGCGGCTTGCGAGAAGACCCTCGGGCCCAATAATTGCAAGGAGGGGGGGGGGTTCGGGCGAACCCTGGGGTGAATGCCACGTGCGGGGTATCGCGCCAATGCCCTGTGTTTGGGCCTCTCGTGTTGTTGTCATTGGCAAGAAGCAGTTGCCATCAAATAGGAACAAGTCTGCATTTGTGACGCCGTTCTTCCCCAAGTTGCCCCCCAGACAGACCACTCAGATAGACAGCCTATGTGAATTCGCTGCAGGCTTGACATGCTTCCAGGCTTTAAGCTGCTTGAGGTGGTTGCAAGTAATTGAGCATGTTTTTTAGCAATGCAATCGAGCAGGACGCCGTGTGGCAGGTGCAGCGGCCTGAGCAGAGAAAGCTGCCCGCCGAGGTCCAGTCACTGGATAGCAGCCTTGCAGATCTTCACCGACATGTCCTCAGCAGAGGTTCAGCCCAATGCTGCTCGGCACTTGCAGCAACTGGCTTGTCTTTTGCTGTGATTCAGTGCAGATGCCCACTTCTGGTGTGTGGCATGCTTGGTTTTTGTGAGGTCAAGGTTCCCCACTGGTGGGATCCAAGGTGCCAGCTTGGATTTTGCCTGATGAAATCTGGGGCGGGCTCCTCCCGTGAGGTCTTCACCACCAGCTCGGCCATCAGCGCCTGCGCGGGCGCCGCCCAGTGGCACCGCGCCCTGGCGCTCCTCGCCGAAGCGGAGGCGTGGAACGCCGTGGTCTTCGGCGGAGCGCTGAGCGCCGGGGACCCGGGCGATGGGAACCAGTTGGGTTCTGCACTGGACCCGGTGGTGTCCCGTGCCACTTGGGTCCATTCGATGTTATTTTCACTGAGAGGCGGGGGACAAGGGGGTTGAAGTTTGGGACATGTTTGGACATTTGGCATTCTAAGATTCGCATAGGTTCGCCAAACTAAATCTGATCAACATGGGCCAGAATCTAGAAATGACATGTTTAGTTTGGAGACAAGCCAAGACAGCAGCATTACAAGAGCAAAAGGCCGGGCCTGACTGAGGCCTGCGAGAAGGGCGGACAGTGGGAAGTCGCTTTGGCACTTCTGGCGACCATGGACCAAGCCCAGGCAGGCGACGAGCTGTGCATATAGCGGGGGGCCGCAATGAAAAGCTCTTGTTTTGCAAATGGGGGGGCATTTTGCTCGGGGTTCTTCTTTTTCGGCGAAGCAGCCACTCTGGAGTTGCCAGGCTTGCTTATTTGGGGTAACATCATTTGACAGCCGCCAGCACTTGCAACGGCTGAAGGAAGGCTTGCCCTGAGGTGCAGGCGGACGTGGTGTGTATCAACAGTGCCACGAGCGCCTGTGAGAGCCTGGCCCGCAATTCAAGACACAGGGCTGGTGCTCCAAACAAAGCAGTGAGGCAAAACCAGGCTCATTTTGGGATGGCTTGAAGCAAGAGCCTGTTGTCATGTGGACATTCACGGTGATCAACCAACAAAGCTGGCTTTGCTCAGGAAGTGTGCCCGTTGGCAAGCCGCGTTGCAGCTGCTGAAGGTCTCTGAGGACGGGCGCTTGTCGGCGAAACCCCAGCTGGGTCAACAAGGGGCCTTGAATTCTAGCGGAGCACTCCTGGATTGCGGACGTAGATCTTATGCAAGTGATGGGGCCCAGAAGGGGAATTCATAAGCAAGTCGAGTGGCTTGGTTTGGCCATGGCAAGTTCTATATGAATATCAAGCTGTGCAGAGGCGTTTGTCCGAAAGCTGCATCTGTGCCATAGAGCCGCAGACTGCTCCGGTGAATCGTGGTCTAGGGGTCATTGGAAACGATCGGCATATCCATTGCATATTTCTCAGCATGACCAGCTGATGACAATAACAGACTCGCATGGTCCCTGGCTGCGTGCTTTGTCATGCGCACTTGCGTTCGGCTGGGTCAACCAAAATCGTGCACGGCAGGGCTGCAGCGTCCCTTGACAGAGTCCCCTCGCCAGGGATGTGGAACCAGTAAGTACTTGTATCTCCTAAATAGACTCCTGTTCAGCCTATCTTATCCACGGAGCCCCCCCCCCCCCGTGCCACCTTTTGGGTAATTGTCCTTTGGGGTTAGTTTAAGGGGAAGCCAAAAGGAAAGCCACCCCTACGGATGGGGATCCGCGCAGTGACATGCCCTTGCCAGGCACGGCGTTTGGGCGCCTTGGTGGCCCACAACGCCGCCCTGAGCGCCCTGGCGCGGAAGAGCCGCTGGCAGCAAGCGCTGCAGCTGCTGCGGCAACTAGACGCACGGCGCCTGCGGAAAGACGCCATCAGCGTCCCGGCCCGGGAGGAGTTGGGAAGAGACATCACCTCACCAAGAGGACACCCACTATCACTCACTCAAAATCAACCCAAAGGTGGGTCTTTTTTTGAGGGTTGGCTCTGTTTGGCCAAAACGGCAGGCCACATACATGATCTGCAAGTCGAACGGTTTGCCAATGGCGCTTAGCACGGCTTGGAATCGGTTCATGGGATGGGGCTTTGTTTGGAGCGGGTACCATTTGTTGAGGGCCCCGAACCGCTCCTTGTCCAAGAGGTGCACATAGCTCATAGCTGCCAGCGATTTTCCAAGATAGCCAGATGAGTGACGCAATCATTGCTTGATATGGTGCAATCAAAAGCCAAAGCTGCATGTTTCTTGCCCCAGAGTCTAAATTATGGGCTGCAAGTAGGCCCCTGAGTTTGCATTGTGGCTGACTAAGGTTACAACGCGGTGATCCATGCATGCGCGAAGTCTGGTCACTGGGAGCTTGCGCTGCACCTTCTGCAGCATATGGCCAATGGGCTCTCTCCAGATGCGACGGACCCAGAGCGATGCGATTTGGGGGAGAGGGCGTGCTTGAATTTTAAACGGGGTTGCTAGGGGGCTGCAGGCAATCAGCTACAGCGGCGTCATCTCAGCGTGTGAAAGAGGCCCGTTCCGTGAGCGGAGGGATCAAAGCAAAGAGCTGGCTGATCCTTGTGCTTTGCCAAGCCATTCCTGGCGCATGTGTGTGCGTGTGTGTGTGTGTGCGCGCGCACGCTATGTGCGTTGAGTCTCGAGAGTGACTCTGTGTGTGACTTTGGCGTGGGAAAGCGAAGCAAGTCCATGGGCCCTAGATGCCTCAGAGGCAATTGGACGCCCAGGAAGCAGATGGCACCTTGCGGTTCAACTCTTCGGCACCATGGCTGCTGCACGAATCACACAGGACGTCGTCAGCTGCAGCAGCGTCATCAGCGCCTGCCAGCAAGGCAGGTGAAACGTTGTGGAGTCCTTGTGCGCATGTTGGCCACCTTGCAATCCGCATCTAAGTACCTGACAATGGGGAGTGGAGGGGGGGTGCTGTTTCCTCCCTATTTTCAGGGGATTTTTACCTTTGTGCTGTGCATCCAGTTCGGACATCACTTTTGGGCCAATCTTGAGTAGGTTGGCCTCAAATTTGTCCATGGACAAAATGTTGCTCAGGCAGTGAGTGGCGGACGACTTTGTCAACAATCGAAGCCATGCCGAGCCTTGCTGCCATGCCAAACAGCATCAGCTACAGCTGCCCGGCGCACATGGTTTTTAGCATGGACATGATGAGGGTAAGATGAGGAGGTTGTCCGCATCCTGGACCTGCAACCTGCTTATGGCACCAGGAATCATCATCTTGGCAACCCTCGCGCGGTGGCCCTCCTCGCAAATCATGGGTCTTTGAGGCAGCTGTCATACGCTTGTCCTGTTGGCACTGTGCGTTTGGATTCTTCGAAGGAAGCAGAGGCAAGGTCCCTGCCGACAAAACGCAGAAGACGCGTCACCTACAGACAAAGTGGCACCCATGTTCCCTTCATAAAATGCCCCCCCAAACAAACATGATAGCTTTCAATGAAACCCGAAAGGAAGCAACCCAGTTTTAGGATGTTTTAGGCATCTATTTTTGCACCTCCGAGGTGCCGGCATCGGCGCCTGTGAGGCCCGTTGGCGCTCGGCGCTGGGACTCTTGGAAGCGGTGGGGCCGGGGCAAGTGGACGGCTTCTGCTGCAATGCGGCGATGACCGCCTGCCAGAAAGCCGCCTGGCCAGGGGCCATACTCCCCAGGCTGAGAACTAGTCATTTCTAGAACCTCCTTTTAGTTTTTTTTTGTTTTTCAGGTTAGTTTGCAGACGAGCTACCCGAATCTTGGGGCCTCGGAAAGGCCCTTGTTGAGGTCCAATGACAATGCTTGGGATGCTGTAATTGGGGCTCAACTTTTGGGAGAGGGAGCCTGAGGGGATCATGTTCCAGTGAAAAAGTCGTGCGCTTGGTTTTGCATTTTTTTTTAATGTTCAGACGAGCGCACCCTTTCAGCTGCAGGGGGAGAAAAGGTCTTGTCTGTCT